TGTGGACCACGTTCTGTTCCAAACCAGAGGAGCTGCCTATTCCTGGCTTATCTGTGGACCTGATCCAGGGTGTGTTGGTGTAACTGTGTCCACTGGTGCATGTGTCATGAGAATATGGGAGTAGCCCACATTTCAGGGGGCCTTTGGAACCATCTTATGTGAGAATAGGACTCAGCTAAGGAATCCCCAAGGAAGTGACCTCACTTTTTAGTCACAAAACATACAGAACTTGCAACCCTAGTAGCTAGGCACCAACAATCAGACACAGTCCCAGTCTGCTCACTGGTGTTGAGACAGCAAGCCCAGTGCCAAGAGTTCCTTTCTACTGATCTGTGGATGCTCATGCCTCAGAAAAGCCCTGAATAGGGGCTGTTCCTGAGTGCTGGGTCACTGCTGGGTCCTGACAGCTCTGGCAATTTTTCCCAAGGAGACCAGAGGTGAGACATGACAGGCAACTTCAAGTGACCACAGTCTAGGCAACCACTCAAATTCCCCATGATAGCTACAGACCCTCACCAGGTTTGTGTGTATATATGTGTTCTATGTGTGTGTGATAACTCAAGATTACAGAGATAAATCCTTCAATTTAACTTGAGTGTATGGCAATGAGTCATTTTGCAGATGGCTCCTTTTGCCATGTTGCAGTGTCCCTATTTGATTCCACAATCTAGGGAGAAGATGACCAAGATTCATCAATAGATGTGTCCTGTCTTCTGAAAACCTTCGCAGCACTCATCCTGCAGGAGCCGAGGAAGGGCCTGGATCCTGTCCTACAGAGGGGAACACCTCCTATGGCCATAAATTTTTATATTCCTACCCATATCTGGTCAGTTGTCAGAAGGTGCCAGAGCTGCTATGTAAAAGGTGTGTATCAATCACGTCCAATCACTGGCAAATGGACATCTCCTACTTGGTCCTGGGATTTCTGGGCAATCAGTCCCCTCTGGAGAAAGTAGTGTTTTCAGAGGAGAACCCTGCCTGAATGTTTAGAGAACCGAGTAGGATGAGTCCAAGGAGTGTCTGCCTCAGGCCTGGTTCTGTGTAACATGCTTCCTGCAGCTCTGGTCTTACCCTGTGAGAAAGTTCTCTACCTCAGGCCTCACTACTCTGAGGCTTCAGGAAAGCAATTTTCACATTTGGGAAGGAGTCTGTGGATTGGATCTGGGAGTGTTCCAACCTGCATGTAGTCAGAACAGGGACCCTTGGGGAGAAAGGAATGGGGTCCTGGTCCTGAGGTAGCTAGGCATTAGGTGGTTGGGCTCAGTCATCACTCAAATGTATATGTAACACCACTATTGGGCATCACATGGCCTATCATTTAGGAAGCAATGCAGACAAACCTCTTAGCCCTCCAGAACTTTCATGATTGTCAGGAAGTTAGTCAAGCCCACCAGCCATCTTGGCAGATAAGGGGCACAGGATGGTAGAGGTGACAGCCTCCTCACCTTCTCTAGGTATATAAACCTGCAGCCAGATGTTTGTGAGGAGTGGCTTCAAAAAAAAATGAGTGGTCTTTGGGCCAGCCGGGAGGGCTCCTGTTCTAAGAGGGGCCAATTGAGGGGCTGTTGTCAAACATAGCTGGGTAAACACCAATTTCCACCCTTTGTGATTTCCAGCAGAGGACTCAACTCTGGGGCTTATACTGTAGAAAGGACATAGTGTGCTGCAATGGGATTCTGGACACTCAAAGAGCAGAGGAGTGGTTGGGGCCTCAGAACCAGGTTCTGTGAGGATCCCATCCCAACACAGCCAATCCCAGCCTGAGTTGCCCATACATTTCTGTACAGAGACAGGACAGCAAGTGTGTGGAGCCCCTTACCCACACATGTGCCTCAAAGGTTGCCCTTTTGATGTGGTGCATGGGCCTGCTTGGCCACTCATTGGGAAGTCCATGATGCAGGGACCTTGGGAGGTGCTACCTAAAGGAGAGGCCCAGTCCTTCATGACTCCCGGTCTCACTCCACACTCCACAGAACCCTCTGCTCCATCATTGAAATGTGGCTGTACGTCTATCCAGAATATTTTTGAGGACCCAAGACTTGGACAACCTGAAATACCTTAGGGCCTTCCTGTTGATCATTATGCCTGAATCAGAGGGGACCTTCCATGTCCTTCCCCAGCTGTAGAACACAGATCCTGTGAGTCTGAGCTCTCTGATTATGAGGATGGGGCCTGGGGTGGATGACTGAAGGTGTGTGCAGAAGAATCTCTGCTGGTGCCCCTGGGATCTGCCATATGGTCCCAAGACACACAAGGCTGACATCTACAGCTGATGGAACCTAGTCTGGAAGATGTTCTATTGGGGAGGGCCTGGGCTATTCTCAGAGGCAGGGAGGCAGGGTTCTAGTGTGAATTGGGAAAGGCCCAAGGAAAGCCAGTCATGTTGGATCTTTTCTCCTGCAGCTCTAGCACCACCCCAAGTGATGTAATTGCCTCCAACAGCCATGGCCTAATTTACCTGCTTACATTTTGGGGAGCATATTATCACATTCCCTGTGAAGGAGGAGGAATAGCCCTGAAAACCTAAGTTGGCCCTACACCAGCAATGACCACACAGGACCATGAGTGGCCACTGTAAACCTTCAGGAAGAGGAGACAGCTTAGCTGCCACTAAGCAAGTGAGTGGACATTGTACGTTATCCTCCACTTGATTTTATATATATATATATATAATTACATCTGGTGCTCCAAGCTGCCATCCCATCCTTTGAAAGAGAGCCAACTATCCTGGCAGCAACATAAATTTCAGGCACCAAAACACCAGAGACAGAAAGTCAAGAAACTATTAGGCCAGCAGCCCTCCACTTCTCCTGGAATGTATGCTCACCACCCTAGTTCTAATGTTTTCTATGGCACCTCCCACATGTGAGCTTCTGAGCATTACCCAGTGCCGGACCCCCCAGCTCAGCTCTCCTTCCGCTTCCCTCTGAGATTGTCTATTTTTTTGTGATGGTAATTCTTTCATTTTAAGGATGGCATTGTAAGTATTTTTAGTGACAGTCTTTTATGTTGACCTAAAAATGCTCATTCATTCACCAGGCTGTGCCACCATCAGCACTGTGTAGCTGCTGATGGAGCCCATGTAGAGCTCATGGTGCTGTGGGAGAGGACACAAACAGGCCATCCTGGAGAAGGTGAGATAGAGGCCCCTGTGTATGGAGCAGAGGTGACTGCCTAATGAGTGTTGAAGATTTAAGGCCATTATAACTCGTACTGTGATCTGTGATATTAACTATTTTAACTGTCACGTGGCACTAAAAATCCTGTTCATATAAGATAACAACCTTAATATGTGCATTCTTATTGCTCCACAGATCATGGCTCACAATCCTCTTATTCTCCATGACACACTATTGAAGTTAGAACCATTAATAAATCAGTAATGGT